TAAACCAGGACTAAACCAGGACTGGACCAGGACTAAACCCACATACTCGCCCGTAAAATTCCAGAACGTTAAAACCCACCTGTTTCCGACCTAAAAACTGCACAGGTTTAGTCTGGAGTTTTACCTACGACGCAACAACTCTGGCAAAATACAAACAGAGGAAGACGACTTTATATAAATAGATTCATAAATTAAGTTTGTCGATCTAATTGAAGCAAGTGTGAGCGAAGAAAAACAAAACTCAAGGTCTGTTTTTGATGACGGGACAGTATAACATAAATAAAAAAGTACATTTTCTATAATATGTGTCATTTAAAGGTGCATTACGTCACTTTTCTGGTGGAATATCTGTCAAACGCTTTTCTCTTTTGCTTTGTCTGGAAGTTACAGGTCAGATCTGTGGAGAATATCTGTTTTTCTGGGTATTTTTGAGCTTTGAATCCACCTGTAATTGAAGAAATGTAAAAAAGCAAAACTACAGCTGCGACGAACGGAGAATATTAAACGTTGTAGTCGCTCATAAGAATCTGTAACGGGTAGAAAAATCCGATTCGTGCAGCAGAGTTGTGGAGTTCACGTCGGGGCTGATCAGAGGAGGGCAGATGGTGCGGTAATGCTGCTGCCGAGAGAGGCCGAGTTCAGGATTTATGAAAATGGATCAGCTTCTTTTTTTTATGTAGCTGCTGTTTTATTCAATATAGGAACATAAGCTGCTGTTATTTAAAAGAAATACTGACAAATTAGACTTTATTTCAGGCAATTAACCGTCTGTTTTTCCTGTTTTGACGCTCTTCTCGGTGAACGGGAGGTTCAGAGTTTCCCTCGGGGGCAGGTCAGAGCTCGGTGGTGGAGTTTGCCGTGTATCTGTCAGATTGCAGATTTGTTGACCGGGTTTGTGGTTCGTATCTCCGTCATTTCTGGGCCTGTGCGCGTCGTCGGTTTCGGTGCAGAGCTGCAGAGGCGCGGAGATGGTCCTGCGGTTCGTTTAACGATGTCACAGCAGGATTCACAGCTTCAGGGTGACGTACAAGAAGTGTCAGAGGAGCAAACAGGGAGTGTTTCTGAGACTCTGAGGGTCTGAGAGTCTGAGAGTCTGAGGGTCTGAGGGTCTGAGAGTCTGAGTCTGAGGGTCTGAGAGAGTCTGAGAGTCTGAGAGTCTGAGGGTCTGAGAGTCTGAGGGTCTGAGAGGTCTGAGAGGTCTGAGAGTCTGAGTCTGAGTCTGAGGGTCTGAGGGTCTGAGAGGGTCTGAGGGTCTGAGGGTCTGAGAGTCTGAGTCTGAGAGTCTGAGGGTCTGAGGGTCTGAGAGTCTGAGGGTCTGAGAGTCTGAGAGTCTGAGAGTCTGAGAGTCTGAGAGTCTGAGTCTGTCTGAGGGTCTGAGTCTGAGGGTCTGAGGGTCTGAGAGTCTGAGGTCTGAGAGTCTGAGAGTCTGAGAGTCTGAGGGTCTGAGGGTCTGAGGGTCTGAGTCTGAGAGTCTGAGAGTCTGAGAGAGTCTGAGGGTCTGAGGGTCTGAGGGTCTGAGGTCTGAGGTCTGAGAGTCTGAGAGTCTGAGGTCTGAGGTCTGAGAGTCTGAGAGTCTGAGAGTCTGAGGGTCTGAGAGGTCTGAGGGTCTGAGAGTCTGAGAGTCTGAGGTCTGAGGTCTGAGAGTCTGAGGTCTGAGAGTCTGAGAGTCTGAGAGTCTGAGAGTCTGAGAGTCTGAGAGTCTGAGGGTCTGAGGGTCTGAGAGTCTGAGAGTCTGAGAGTCTGAGAGTCTGAGGGTCTGAGGAGTCTGAGTCTGAGGTCTGAGGGTCTGAGAGTCTGAGAGTCTGAGTCTGAGTCTGAGAGTCTGAGGGTCTGAGTCTGAGAGTCTGAGAGTCTGAGAGTCTGAGGGTCTGAGGGTCTGAGAGTCTGAGAGTCTGAGATTCTGAGGGTCTGAGAGTCTGAGGGTCTGAGAGTCTGAGAGTCTGAGAGTCTGAGGGTCTGAGGGTCTGAGAGTCTGAGAGTCTGAGTCTGAGGGTCTGAGAGTCTGAGAGTCTGAGGGTCTGAGAGTCTGAGGTCTGAGAGTCTGAGAGTCTGAGGGTCTGAGAGTCTGAGAGTCTGAGAGTCTGAGAGGTCTGAGAGTCTGAGAGTCTGAGAGTCTGAGAGTCTGAGAGTCTGAGTCTGAGAGTCTGAGATCTGAGGTCTGAGAGTCTGAGGGTCTGAGAGTCTGAGGGTCTGAGATTTTGACCAAAGGTTTAGTGTTTTCCGTTGGTAAATCTTCAGCTGACAGTTGAACCCTGGGAACCTTCTGTAGTTTCTGCAGTTTGTATAATTAATAATCCCCTGGTTCAAGGAGACGGAGCAGAACATTTTCCACTTTCACTGTCGCGGGCGTTAAGTTTGAAAAGAAACAATGAGATAATTATTCACAGCAGGAAACTGAAACACGAAAAGTATCGCGGCGTTTTCTGTCGACACTTTAAAGCGTGAGATTAATACGGAGAGTGTGAAGAGTCGATCTCAAACAAACGACGAGAAGGAGAAACATTTGTGGATCTGGAGTTTGGAGATTTCTTCCAAAAAACAATAAATCTTCCATCGAGTTCAACCGACTCTTTTTCTCCATCTGAAATTAAAACGTCATCAGATTTTACAACATGAACCACACATTCAACTTTATCTCTCCCTCTCTCTTTCCTCCTCTCCCACTCTCTGCCCGTCCATCCCTCTTCTCTTTCTCTGTTTCTCTTTCTCTCCCTCTCTCCCTTTCTCTTTCTTTTCATCTCTTTCTGTCTCTCTTTCTCTTCCCCTCTCCCTCTCATCTCCCACTCTTCACTCTCTCTCTCTCTCTCTTTCTCTATCCCGCTCTTCTCTCTGTCTTTCTCTGTCCCTCTTCTCTCTTTTTCTCCCTCTTTTCTCTCTCTCCCCCTCTTCTCTCTCTCTCTCTCTCTCCCTCCCTCGCTTCTCTCCCTTTTCTCTCTCTCTCTTCTCCTGTCTTTCTCTCTCCCCCTCTTCTTTCTCTCTCTTCTCTTTGTCTCTCACTCTTCCTCTTCCTTCTCTCTTCTCTCTTTCTCTCTTTCTCTCTCTCTTTCTCTCTCTCTTTTCTCTTCTCTTCTCTTTTCTCTCTTTCTCTCTTCCTTCTCTCTTTCTCTCTTACCTCTTCCTTCTCTCTCTTTCTTTCTCTCTTCTCTCTTCTCTTCCCTCATCTCTTTCTCTACCTCTTGTCTCTGTCTCTTTCTCTCTTCTCTTTCCCTCTTTCTCTTCTCTTTCTCTACCTCTTCTCTCTTTCTCTCTCTTCTCTTCTTTCTCTCTCTCTCTCTTTCCTCTCTTCCCTCTTTCCCTCTTTCTCTTCTCTTTCTCCCCTCTCTTTCTCTCTCTCTCTCTTCTCTCTTTCTCTTTCTTTCTCTTCTCTTTCTCTCTTTCCTTCTCTCTCTCTTCCCTCTTCCTTCTCTCTCTTTCTTTCTCTCTTCTCTCTTCTCTTCCCTCATCTCTTTCTCTACCTCTTGTCTCTGTCTCTTTCTCCCTCTTCTCTTTCCCTCTTTCTCTTCTCTTTCTCCCCCTCTCTCTTTCTCTCTCTTCTCTTCTTTCTCTCTCTCTCCCTCTTTCCTCTCTCTCTCTCTCTCTTCTCTTCTCTCTCTCTTTCCCTCTTTCTCTTCTCTTTCTCTCTCTCTTTCCCTCTTTCTCTTCTCTTTCTCCCCCTCTCTCTTTCTCTCTCTTCTCTCTTCAGGTGACGTCTTCTCCTTCGCCGACGTCACTCGCGGCGTGCTTCTCTACCGTCACGGCGGCGGCGTCTCGCACCTCGAGGACCGCGTCGCCGTCTCCGTGAGCGACGGCATCTCCATGGCGACGGCGGTGGTGACGGTGGCCGTGCTGGGCGCCGGGGGCGACGGGCCGGAGCCGGACCCGGGGGCGGCGCTGTCCCTGCAGGTGACGGAGAGGAGCAGCACCGTGATCCGACGCGGCCACCTCGCCTACACCGTGAGCAACTCCACACATGCTTTTGTCTTTTCATATTTATTTATGAGTGTGTGACGCTAACTCGAGGCACTGCTCCGTCTCAAACTCAAGATACTCAAATTAGACTTTAATCTGATCTTTATTTTAACAACATCTGAATCTGATTTAGCTGAAACTACAACAGGTGATCGGATTTTGTGCTGACTGAACCATTTTTCAGTTTATCAGTCTCAGCTTTTGTTGTTTAAATCAATTTTGCTTTTCTTTTTTTTTTATAAATCAATCAACCTGTTTAAATTATTATTAGTATTGGGAGTGACGCGTTATAAAAGTAACGAGTTACTGTAATACAGACATGTCAAACTCAGGCCCGGTGGCCAAATTTGGCCCGCGATATAATTATCTTTGGCCCGTGAGATCAAATCAAATCTGTATTAGAGCTGCTCGCTGCCTACAGATCGACTATAGACACAATATTTATTTAAAATGTTGTTATTATTTTATATTCTGCTTGGTTTGGTTTCAGTGTTTAAGCAAAACTATTATTAAACATTTATTTTAATAAGAAAATCATATCATACATATCTTGAAAGAAGAGAAAACAAATGCAGATGTTATTTTTCAATAAATATTTAGTTTGGCCCATGACTTAGTCCCAGTTTTTAATTTCGGCCTTTGTGGATTTGAGTTTGACTCTCCTGCTGTACTGCGTTACTTTTTGCTGTAACACAGTAATGTAGAATTACAGGGAAAAAACTGTAATATTTTACTGGGTAAACATGTGCGTCACAAAGCTTTTTTAACCTGGATTGAAGTGGTGGGTTTTTTGTTTTTCTTCACACAAATTCGCTAAAATCACGGCGACACCAGAAGAGGTGAAACACCATCGTTATGATTCTGAGTGTCACGACGAGCCCAGAGGTGCGCCCGCGGTCGCCCGCGGTCGCCCGCGGTCGCCCGACGGTCTGCGCTGGTGCACCTCCGGACTCGTCACCGACATTCAGAACCGATGCCGTAACGATGGCTTTTCACCGCTTCTGATATCGCCGAGATTTTAGCAAAGGACCGACGCAGAATTCCATGCTCCACGGGGCGAAGTGCAGCCGACGTCTGAATGCACTTTGTGGACACCCTGCTCCACAGTCTCAGGGTTGGTCCTAGATAATGAGTCCTAGTCCAAGATTAGTCCTGGTTTGATCCTGGTTTAGACCTCGGTTCAGTCCTGGTTCAAGTCTGGTTCCGTTCTGTCTCAGTTCTGGTTTAGACCTGTATAAGTTTAATATAAAGTATAACAGGCTGTCACATTAATATTATTCATGTCAAAAAATAGGGATGTTTGAAAAATGGTAAAGTGCCGCTGAAAAATTTGATGTCAATGTCTAAATAGCAGCATGTCAGAATAGCAGCATGAAACCGTTTTTTAGGAGTTTAATATTCAACAAAAAGGTGAAAGTGACTAAAACTGTTGTTAATGCTAATGCTAACGCTAAATGCTAACGCTAATGCTAAAGTAGGGTGACCAACCGTCCGTTTTTCCCTGGACATGTCCGTATTTTGCGTCCTGTCCGGGGCGTCCGGGTTTTTTTTATAAAGTGATGCAAATGTCCGGGTTTTCAGTATCGTTCATTAAACTGAGCGTCTCTCGTAGCGTCTGTGACTCAGAAGGAGCGAGACACAAACAGTCGGTCAGTCTGCAACATACTGAAGAACAAAAGCACATTTAACAACGACGTGTACAAGAAATTCTCCGTTTTCCGTCCCAGTAGAGACAAGTGTGAGTCCATGTGCACAGGTTGAGGTGAGAGGACAGTGTCCCTCGTTTATCTCGGGGTTATGTTCTAAAAATAACCTGCGACAGGTGAAATCCACAAAGTATCAACTTTATATTTTACAATTATTCTATCTGTTTTAAGGCTGTAAAACCTCAGCACAAACTTTATACACTTTTCTCAGACAGGATCGACAGGTGCAACACTTTTTACTTCCTTCTTAAAACTTGTTGCTGCTGTCGTCCTTTTGTTATTTTCCTCTTTCTTTATGTAACGAACTGAAGATTCATTTATTCCATAATGGAGCCGACAGCGCAGAGTCCTGCACGGGTCCATTTCTGTAGACCCCCAAGTACAGGACCACACCCCGCAGCCAGTACAGGACCGCACCTGCCCGTTAACCTGAGTTTATATCAGACTTTTGCGCTGCCTACACCACGGACTGAACCAAGACTAAACCAGGACTAAACCAGGACTAAACCAGGACTAAACCAGGACTAAACCACCCTAACCCTAACCCCCCCGGTTTAGTTCCAACTAAACCAGGTCTTCCAGGTCAAATTGTGATAAAATAAAGTTCAGATTAAAGTCTAATAGAGCTTCTGACAGAGTAGTGCCTTCTGTTAGCATCACAACCCCAGGGAATTTTGACGACATCAGCTGCAAAGTGTCAATACCACTGCAATTTTTTTTTTTGTCCTCTTTCCTCCCCTCAGGACGACGTGTCTCCGGACGGTGAGATCCGGATGCAGCTGGTGTCCGTGCCCATGTACGGGATCCTGACGCGCTCCGAGGACCAGCACAAGCACCAGGAGCTCCAGGAATACTCCTCCTTCACCATGGACGACATCAACAAACAGCGCATCAGGTACAAGTCCAAGTCCACGTCCAAGTCCAAGTCCTGGTCCTGGACACGACTGGAGGACCTGACTTTGCAAAACAGAAGTAGTTCATTTAAAACGGTTTGGATCGCTCACTTTCCTTCTGCGTTCAGAGCAACCGAATTATTCGCCACAATAAGAGTTTCTAATCACCAGTTTTGGGAGTAACGTGTTATAAAAGTAACGAAATACTGTAAACCGTTGCTTTTTGCTGTAACGCAGTAATGTTGTGTTACAGGGGAAAAAAACTGTAATATTTTACTGAGTGCACGAAGTCACGATGCTTTTTTAACCTGGATTGAAGTGGTGGATTTTTCGTTTTTCTTCGTACAAATTCGCTAAAATCACGGCGACGTCAGCAGCGGTGAAACGCCGGAGACGCGCCCGTGTAGAACGTCGGGCGACCGCGGGCGAAAGGACCGACGCAGAACTCCACGCTGACGCCCGATCGCGCCGCGCAGACGCCCTGTTCCACGGACTCGGGGTTCTCTCAGGGGAGGTCCTAGATTCCAAGTTCTAGTCCAAGATTAGTCCTGGTTTAGTCCTGGTTTAGTCCTGGTTTAGTCCTGGTTTAGTCCTGGTTTAGTCCTGGTTTAGTCCTGGTTTAGTCCTGGTTTAGTCCTGGTTTGGTCCTGGTTTAGTCCTGGTTTAGTCCTAGTTTGGTCCTGGTTTAGTCCTGGTTTGGTCCTGGTTTAGTCCTGGTTCAGTCCATATATGGCACAGAAATTCAGCATTTTCACAGTTATTTTGGTGAGAGTAACTTAAATTAATGCAATAGTCGTGTAATATTTTACATTTTAAATACAGTATGTATAATATAATATTGTAATGTAATGAATTACTTTGAAATAGGGATGGGCATGATTAGTCGATTAATCGATAATTGATCATTAAGAATTTCATGGATTACGTTCATTTTAATGGACAAACTGAATGTATGTGTGTGTGTCGTGACCAAACAGGTGTGTACATGTGTCTCTGCATCAGAAGGAGCGAGACACAAACAGTGGGTCAGTCTGTAACGAACCGAAGCACAAATGTGGATTTAACCAGGATTTGTAGAAGAAATTCCACACTTTCCGTTGCGTTGGGACAAGTGTGAGTCCATGTGCACAGTGGATAAAGCAGCACATATGTTTCTGTGTCCAGTGGGAAAAAGTTTTTCCAGGTGAGAGTCGCTCAATGTGGATGACGAGGCCCCGCCCCCCTCCCCCCGTACGCTGTCCTGGTTTTGACAAACACAAATCTGGTCACACTGACCTGTATTCACCTGAGTCATGTCTTTTAATCCAACACAAGTTGAACCACATCAGCGACACAAGAGCTGGAGTTTTATCTTCACTTAGTTTATGTAAATTAGTGATGTGGTTTTAAGTTTTGTTTCTGTGAGATTTGAACAAAACTGAATTAAACACATTATAATGTCAAACAGCTGATGTGGATCTAGAGTCGTTATGTTTATATGTCGTAAAGTTATTTATGCAGATTAGTGCAGATAGTAATAATAATGATGAATATAAAAACGTTAATGATTCATCGATAATCGATCGTTAATTCTTCCAATGATCGATTACGAAAATTTCATCGAATGCCCGTCCCTAGTTTGAAATGACAGTAATAAGTCATAAATAACACATTACAGTTTTAAAGTAACAGTGTTAATAACAGACTCGCACTGTTCCTACTTAAAGCAATATTTATGTAGAGTTGGTTTGGTTTTATTCTAGTGCTGGTTCAGTTCTGGTCTAGTCCAGGTTTAGTTTGTTTTGTCCCGTGTTTGATGTGGTGTGTGACGAGGGTGATCAGAATTTCAGAATAAAAAACTGAGACATCCCTGTTTTTTTAGTGGTTGGTAATAATAAAATTGTGAAACGAGTGTGAGTAATTCAGGAAAATTGTTCTGCAGACGCCATTTATGACGAACACGTGAGTCAGTGTAGTGACATTTTCTTTGTGTTTTGATTTTCAGGAGCAGCTTTTCTGTGATTTACCTAAACAAATGACAATGGGCCTCACTGATGAAACATTCTTATGAACAGATTTGTACGTAAGGCCTTTCTCATGAACATCTTTGGCATTCACAAAACGTTTTCTTAACTGAAAACGTGCACTCGTGTTTTACTCTTAAGAAGAAAAATTCTATTGTTTTAGAATATTATTACTCTGTTAATGCAACTAAAAATTCCTCCATGATTGTAAGTTACATATTTTCTTAAATTATTTCCTAAACATATTACTCTGTGACACAATAACATTTATGAGGAGTTTTCTAGAACATTTTATTGAGTCAAACAGACTTTCTCCAGGCTGCAGTGAGCCTCAGTCTGTCCCAGCCCCAGTGTCTCCACAGGGGCGTCTGTCACAGTCCTGAGCCTGGTCCCTGCGCTGGACTCAACACCAACATCACCCCCCTGACCCCCCATGACCAGAGCACACTCCTGTGCACCCCCACCACAGCCCCCCTCCCTCACTGTTTACACTTGGGTCAGCGGTTGTGGAAAGAGCAATAAATACGACGAAAGCAGCCGCTTATTTCAATAAGTTTATGACTTAACTCTTCCCTCCCTGAGTGTTTTCATGTGAGTTTGGACATGGTCCTGGTCAAGCAGAAGTAAACAACAAGGCCAAAACTTCAAGTTAATTCATCTGATATAAAAATGTATTGAACAGATACATATGTACTCTAGTTTATGAAACTGTTGACCTTTTTTCTGTTCCATTTTTGGTTCTAAAGTTCCATATGTTTTAAACAGACCATGTATGAAACATGGAACAAAAATTATTTCCCAAATTTCAAAGACCCAAAAATCATGTAAATAAATGGATGTATTTCATCATATCTTGTGTTATTCCATCTTTGAACTGTTGATGAAGGGACAGGATTTTTTTTTTAAAGTGTTTAAAATGATAAAAATGTTCTTGGAAGGACTGACATATTTTATAGAAATAGTTTCCTTTCATTTTGAAGTAATATTAAAGTATTCAGAAGAAAAAAGTGACAAATGATGTAAAATCCTGCACCTTCTACTTGTTTGTACAATTTTCCCTCCGTTACTTTTCCCTCCGTTACCATGAACTTTCTTAATAAAAAACCTCATGAGTCAAAAAGTCAGAGGTTTTTCAACCTAATCTTGTACCATATGGTAGAAAACTATATGAAGCAAATATTCAAACCAGTTTGTTAAGGATATGTAAGTGAGAACCAAGAGTTATCACTGTTTGGATTTATTGACCAAAAAGTGCTGCATATTTCATTCCCTCCGTTACCGACATGAGTTTTTTAATTTTTTGTCTTGAACTTGAAAGAATCTCACAGGTTTAACTTGACCCTGTTGGAGTGTAACTCTTTCCTACATTCTGATACTTTACTTATTTCAATAGTTCCTCTAGTTTCTGAATAAGAGACATTTGAATGTCAAAAATCTGACCCTGTTTCCCTCCGTTAACACTTGACCAGACCCACATTTAAAATCTCCGCTGAAGCTGTAAAACAGCCGCAGTCACAGATGCTCCTGACTTCCTCTCTCCCTCGCGCTTTCACACGTCATAATGTCAAAACCATAATGGCCGAATTTGGAGGTTTAAGGACATTTCTAACCAAATACATGTACATTTTCTATGTAAATGAATTATGCCTGGTGCTGGTGAATTCGCCTCAACTGTCATAAAGCTTTGTGACTCTTGTTACGGTCGGCTGGTTTCAAATTGATCAAAAATAGAGACACCTGGGACTTTTCTTGTATAAAACTTCGACAAATCACTGGCTTTGGATAAACCTGCAGGGACAGAGGACACAGGCTCAGGACTGGGACTTATTTATCACAGATTAAAGATGAAAAATGACCAGTGTTGGGAAAGTTACTTTTAAAATGTAATCCCCTACAGATTACAGATTACATACACCAAAATGTAGTTTGTAACGTAATCCATTAAATTACTTAGAGTAATGTAATCTGAATACTTTGGATTACTTGATTTGCTGTAGAGAAACAAAGACGAGGAAATCTTCACATAAGAAGTTTTGTCTGATAAAAGAAAATAAAAAGCCCAGATTTTACTGAACCAAATTAAAAATATTATTGATAGAAGAAGAAGAAACACGGTCTGTGTGGCCTGGTTTAGTCCTGTTAAATCCTGTTTGAAACCTGGTTTAGACCTGGTTTTAGACCTGGTTTAGGCCTGGTTTGGATCTGGTTTAGTCCTGGGTTAGTCCTGATTTAGTCCTGGTTTAGACCTGATTTTAGACCTGGTTTTAGAGTCCTGGTTTAGTCCTGGTTTAGTCCTGATTTAGACCTGGTTTAGTCCTGGTTTTAGACCTTGTTTAGTGTCCGGCAATGAGTGGAATTACCAAAAAAAAAAAAACAAAAAAAGGATACATCCCAAAATGTGAAAACAGGAAAATCCCTCTGTGTAATCCATTTATTTCAACAAAGTAACTGTAATCCAATTACCACTCACTGAAACAGTAACTGTAACCGAATACAGTTACTCATCATTTGTACTCTGATTACTCCAGTACATGTAATCTGTTACTCCCAACACTGTAAATGACACATATGTGCACAGAGTTTTTCATTTGACTAAAATCGGCCAGTGACGTAATCAAATCCCAGCTTCTTTTCGTTTCCAATTTACGTTTTCTTCATTTACATTTAACTTCATCTCGTTCCATTATTTTCTTTTCCGTCCAGGTCGTCGTCCAAACTCGTATTTAACAAAGTCTGTATCAGTTGCACATTTTAACTGACATTCACTCCATTCAGTATAATTCAATCTTTCTTTGACAAAATCACCGGTGCAAGGCCGTTTCCAGCTCCGCCGAACGAGGCTTTTCGCATAACTTCCTTTCTGTTTTCACGTTTTGCATTTTTGTACCTCTCCACATGACAGAAACACGCCTTTTTGAACCACGTATTATTTCAGTGAAGCCTTTAATATATATATTTTTCACATTTAAATCAAAGTTGTGAAAGTAAAGCGTTTCTTTTTTTCTTTTTTCTCATTACGTTTCGACCTTGCGGATGCGTCCTCGGGTGAGCAGAGAGTTTGAACGGTCTTTTGCGAGTTTGCGTTTGAGGAAAAAAAGACTTTGTAAATATTGAGTTTGAGAACGTTGCCGCGGCGACAGAAGGGACGTGATGTTTGGTAGATTAAACAAGACTGAGGAGGAGGAGATGTTACAAAGCGACAACAAATGTTTAGGCGTCTGAACTAAGCAGGAGACTGAAGGAAAGCGGTTTGTCGTGTTTTCAGCCTGTCATTTCTGGAGGAGGGTTGCTTCTAAGGAGATGTCATTGCTCTGCCAAAAATGTTCCGCATTGGCCAAGTTTACATGATGTTTTGAATTGAGGATTACACGGGAAACTCGTTAAATCGTCTTTATTTAATTCCACTCGGCGTCTGGGGTTTGGGGAAGGTTCTGATTGGACAGGGACACAAACATATTTACGTCGACCGGAAGAAAACACACACTTCACACTGCGATTGGATTTTCTGTCATCTCGGTTTGTCGTTACGCCCTGGACACAAACACCATCCGAACTTTTTCCGCGACCGTATCGATGACGATTGCGAAGCAGCTTAAGAATTCTGTCATCACGCTTTACGTCTGTCGGCTGAGGAGGAAGAAGACAAAGTGAGTGTGAGGCGGCTCTACCTCAGCCCACTCCCACATCCTGCTCACAAATCCAAAGAGACGTGGAGGAAAGCTCTTCTACTTACTCGCGTACTTATTTTAAAAAAACATTTGGTTCAAGGCCAACGTTTACTCTGGGCCGTCATCCTGCAGTGCGGGTCAGAAGGGAGACCCAACGAGCATGTGCTTAACAACCGGAAATATTCTTAAGAAGAATAAACGTTTACATCAGGAGATTCAAACTCAAATTCACAGAGGCCGAAATTAAAAACTGGGACTAAGTTGTGGGCCGAATTAAATATTTATTGAAAATTTTCAACAACATCAACATGTTTAAACATTTTTAAAATTAAAATAAATGTTTAATAATAGTTTTGATTAAACATTGAATCTAGAACAAGCAGAAGATGTTCATTTTGTCTTCTTATATACTTTAACTTCTTGGGTTCTTTTTTAAAAGACAATGCAATAAAGTGTGTTTACCTTGTTGACATGTTTCGGCTGCTGCTGCATCTTCAGAACTGTCACCGGTGTTGGTGGTGACGTGTCGTATATCAGTTCTGAAGAATGGATAATAAGTAATGCAAAGATGAACAAAGCTTAATTAATAATGAACTAAAAGACTAATTAATAATAATTAATTAATAATGAACTTAATAATGAACTTAATTAACTTAATAATGCTTAGTAACTACTTAATTACTACCTTAATTAGCACTTAGCACTTAACTTAATTTGCCTGTGCTGTAAATAGTTACTCATAATTATTTCATACTTAATTACTCATGAACTAACCATTTGAGCATTTATTAATCATGAATAAGCTATGAGAGAATGATTTACTAATAATACAATGCAATGATAATTAAGCATTTACTAAGTGTGAATCATTATTAATTAAATCTTTGTTCATTATTAATTAAGTCTTTGTTCATGCTTTATTAAGGCTAAGTAAGGTGTAGTTATTATAAAGCGTTACCTCTTCAAGTGGTTCCCAGTCTCTCCGTGTTGGAGTTTGACAGTTTCTCGGTGTGTTTGATTTATGCGTTCAGGTTCAGTATGTTACTTCCTATTTCCATATATTTAAATTTTCACACGGTTTGGCCCAAGAAATATAAATTACACAAAGTCTCACCTTATCACAGATGGTAGAGCAGCTGAAAATGTTCTCAAGTAACAGTACTGCTGTTTCTAAGTAATATTAGTCAAATAGAAGTGCCGTATTTTTCGGATTATAAGACGCAGTATCAATAATGTTGAATTCTCTCGTCTATTTTCATACATAAATTGCACTGGATTATAGGCAGTGTTGGGGAGTAACAGATTACATGTACTGGAGTTACGTAATCAGAGTACAAATGATGAGTAACTGTATTCAGTTACAGTTACTGTTTCAGTGAGTGGTAATTGGATTACAGTTACTTTGTTGAAATAAATGGATTACACAGAGGGATTTTACTGTTTTTCACATTTTGGGCTAAATCCACTAGTAATTCCACTCATTGCCAGAGACTAAACCAGGTCTAAACCAGATCTAAACCTAGGTCTAAACCAGGCCTAAACTAGGTCTAAACCAACCCTAAAACAGGACTAAACCAGGACTAAACCAGGACTGAACCAGAACTAAAACAGGACTAAACCAGGACTAAACCAGGACTGAACCAGAACTAAAACAGGACTAAACCAAGACTAAACCAGGTCTAAACCGAGTCAACCAGGAGGGCTGATCCAGGACTAAACTAGGACTGAACCAGGTCTAAACCAGGTCTAAACCAGAACTGAACCGAGGACTGAACCAGGAGTAAAACAAGACTAAATCAGGGCTAAACCAGGACGAAACTCAGTCTAAACCAGGACTAAATCTGGACTAAACCTGGACTAAAATAAGACTAAACCAAGACTAAACCAAGACTAAACCAGGACTAAACCAGGTCTAAACCAAGACTAAACCAGGACTAAACAAGGACTGAACCAGGACTAAACCAGGACTAAACCAGGACTAATCTTGGACTAGGACTTGGACTCTAGTTCCGTCCCTGAGAGAACCCTGAGCCCGTGGAGCAGTGTTTCCTCAAAGCTCGATCGGGCGTCGGCTCTGCTTCTCCCCGTGGAGCGTGGAGTTCTGCGTCGATCCTTCTGAAATTCATTTTTATTCAGAATTAAACCTCTCGCGTGAACGTGTCGTTTATCTGGAGCGCGTGACGCCCGCTGTGACTGACGCAGGACTCCGTGTACTTCTGCCTCAGGTACATCACATCTGTGGAGACCGGGAGCCAGCCCATCACCGACATCTTCCACTTCACGGTTTACGACGGAGACAACAATCGCCTCGACAACCAGATGTGCACCATCACCATCAGCTCGGCCCTGCGGCGCCCCCCGGAGGTCACCGTGCGCCCCGGCATCCAGGTACCACACGGGGAGACTTTTATTTATGTACACGCCGGAGTTAAACTGTGTATTTAAAACAGATGTAGCTTAGTCTGTAGTAGAGGTCTTTAATTCTTTAATTTGGCAGCACTAGAAAACAAAAACTAAATAAAACATAGACTACAAACCCGAGGATCATGACCGGAAAGGTTTAGGCTGAAGTAAAAAGTTCTTATAACGTCAAATCTTATTAAACGACGACAGAATTCCAAGAAACAAAAGCAGTTTATGAACAACAAGTTTGCGTTTTCAGTTTGGGTGGGGACGTCACCGGAGTTGTGACCTGCACTCGAGTCAGACTTGAGTCACTATTTTTAGGGACTTGAGACTTGACTTGATAAAATGGATTAAGACTTGGGACTCGACTTGGACTCGAAGGGACGTGACTCGGACTTGAGGCCTGTCATCACTAAAGTCAGAACGGTTGTTTTATTCTGACTGTAATGATTCTGGAGCGTTACAGGGCGTTCTAGAGCATTCCAGAGCGTTCCAGAGTGTTATAAAGTATTCCAGAGTGTTACAAAGTGTTCCAGAGCATTCCAGAGCATTCCAGAGTGTTATAAAGTATTCCAGAGTGTTACAAAGTGTTCCAGAGCATTCCAGAGTGTTATAAAGTATTCCAGAGTGTTACAAAGTGTTCCAGAGCATTCCAGAGCGTTCCAGAGAGTTACAAAGCATTCCAGAGTGTTAAAAAGTGTTCTGGAGCATTCCAGAGCGTTCCAGAGTGTTATAAAGTATTCCAGAGTGTTACAAAGTGTTACGAAGTGTTCCAGAGCATTCCAGAGCGTTCCAGAGTGTTACAAAGCATTCCAGAGTGTGCCAGGGAGTTCCAGAATGATACAGAGCATTCCAGAGTGTCACAGAGCGTTCCAGAGTGTTACATAACGTTACAAAGCATTACAAAGCGTTACAAAGCGCTATAGATCATTCCAGAGTGTTACATAGCATTACAGAGTGCTACAGAGCGTTCCAGAGTGTTACAGAGCATTCCAAAACATTACAGAGCATTGCAGAATGTTACAGAGTGTGTTACAGAGCGTTACAGAGCATTCCAGAGCTTTCCAGAGTGTTCCAGAGCTTGGAGCTGGTCACAGAGATTATTGATTGTCTTAAAAGTTCGATAATCTCCACGTCTCAGACAAAAAGATGGATAATCGAGTCCATTTACAAAAAAACTCTCGTCATTAGTCTCTGAATCCTCGTGTGCCAGTGGAAATTGAGCTTTATTCACAACAGAAATCTGAAATCTCTACAAAATCATAATAATAAATAACACTTGCATAGGGCTTTTCAAGATACTGAAAGACAATTTACAGGGAGAAGCAAACAAAGGCAGACAAAAGAAATAAGAAAGTTACTGAAAGGTGGTTTTCAAAGAGTCGGGTTTTCAGTTTTTTTTTTTTGAAACCTGTGGAGTGTGGATGAGTGTCTGAGGTGTTTGCGTCTGTGTGGTTTGTTCTCAGGTGGAGGAGGGCGGCAGAGTGCAGCTGTCCACGGCCCACATCACCGTCACGGACCAGGACACGCCCAGGAAGGAGCTGCTGGTGTGGCTCGTCACCGCGCCCAAGTACGGCTTCATCGAGAACACCAGACCAGGTGAGGGTCTCGTGCACGAACACCGACAACAACAAACAACAACAACAACAACAACAACAACAAACAACAACAAGTCTTTTGTTTAAGCTGAAACAAGTTATACAACGATTTTTACATTTCTGAACAACATTTTCAGGGTATTTTAAAGCATTAAAAACTCCCTTAATTAAACAAATACCAGATTATTATTATTTTTACATCCGCCAAGGAGGTTATGTTTTTGCCGGCGTTTGTCTGTTTGTTTGTTTGTTTGTTTGTTTGTCTGTTAGCAACATAACTCAAAAAGTTATGGACCGATTTTGATGACATTTTCAGGATTTGTTGGAAATGTGAAAAGGAAGAACTGATTTCATTTTGGGGGTGATCCGGAAGAAATCCTGGATTCTGGATCACTTTGAAATTTTAGTTAACATTGTGGTAAATGGGGCCAAAAATTTTGTTTCTCAATATCTCGGTTAATTATTGACCAAACCCCATGAAATTTGACTCAGGGATGGACAATGGGATCCTCTTTCATATTCCAAAGGCTGATCCGGATCTGATCCAGAAGAATTTTATCGCAATTTATATAAAAAATGGGGGTAGTCCTTGGCGGAGGTCTGCGCTCTCTGACTGCTTTTCTAGTTTTATTAAATCGAACAAAGCAAAGTCCAAAACTCTCTCTTTAAAGGTTCTATATTACACAAAACTGACTCTTGTGAGATTTTAAGTCTTTTACTGCGTCAAAAACAGACCTGGACTTGTGTTTTGTTTCATCTCCCAAGCTCAAAATGCTCTGTTCCACCTTGTGATGTCATGAAGAGGTAGTTTTCAAGTGAACCGCTCCTTGTTTTGTTATTTTGTCATTATCTGACCTTTACAAAATGTTTCTGTTACACCTCCAGGGGGCGCCAACATACAGCTGAAAAGAGGATTGAATGGGAACATTATAATTCGTTTAAGGGTTTTTGTTTTGGCTGAGACAAGTTTAAATATTTGTACAATGGGACAGTTCTGTTCAAATTATGTATTATGTATTTTAAAGTTCCATAAAAGAGTTTAGTTTTCCCGTGAAGGGTTCTCTTCAGAATGACATATCGGGATTATATAGTGTTGAAGTCAAGACCACTAATCAAGACCAAGATCTGTTCAAGACCACAGGGTCCCGAGACCAGGACAAGACCAAGACCTTTAAAGTCTGAGACCGAGACAAGACCGAGACCACGGCCCATCAAGACCAAATCAAGACCATCTTTGTCATTTTCAACATTTATTTGTATTTTACAGTTATTTTGGCACAAATATATCAAGGTTTTTATAAATATGTCTCCATTTTATCACTGGTCCTCGAGACCGAGACAAGACCAAGTCCAAGCGCCTTTAAAACCGAGTCCAAGCGCCTCAAAAACGAGACAAGACCAAGTCCAAGCGCCTTTAAAACCGAGTCCAAGCGTCTTCAAGACCGAGACAAGACCAAGTCCAAGCGCCTTTAAAACCAAGTCCAAGCGTCTTCAACGACCGAGGCAAGACCGAGACCAAGTGCCATCAAGACCGAGACAAGATCGAGACAAGACCGAGTCCAAGCGCCTTTCAAACTGAGTCCAAGCGCCTTGAAGAACGAGACAAGATCAAGTCCAAGTGCTTTTAAGACCAAAACAAGACCAAGTCCAAGCACTTTGAAGACCGAGACAAGACCGAGTCCAAGCGCCTTCAAGATCGAGTCCAAGCCAAGCACTTGAGTCCAAGCACTTTGAAGACCGAGACAAGACCGAGTCCAAGCGCCTTCAAGATCAAGTCCAAGCACCTTCAAGACCGAGACAAGACCGAGACAAGACCGAGTCCAAGCACTTTTGAAGACCGAGACAAGACCGAGTCCAAACATGGTTGAGTCCAAGACCAAGACCCCCCAAAAAACGAGAGAGTTTGCGAGAAGAACTCAGTCTAAATGTGCAGGGTTTGTGCGTTTAAACGTGTGAATGAAACAAAAAAAACACAACTCCAGGTCTGTTTGTGACGAGAAAACGACTTTAGAAAACTGAATCCTGGCTCCTTTAAACTCACTCGCAGACTCACTTTTTTTTTACCTCTATAAGTTTCCGCGTTATTTTCGTTGATGTTTGACGTTGACGCGCGGAGGGAACGGGCCCGTCCGATCCCGTAGAACGTCGCGGGTGAAACACAGTCTCACCTCTGAGTTCGCACGGATCCCGCTCGAAAACTTCAAATTAAGCGTCGGCGTCGGAGTCGGTGTCGTGGTTTGAGTCCGGCTCCAGGTGAGCGTCGCTGCAGCTGTCGGCGCGTCCTGACTTCGTTTTGCCCTTGCAGTTTGAGCACAGATGGAGATGGTGCGGATTCGGTGGTTGCGCAGCTCTTCTCCTCCCTCCTCCTGTTCGTCTCTTTTCTTCTCCTCTCAGCCTCATCGCCGACTCCATCTGGTTTATCTGCCTTCACCGCGGAGGGAAACACAAACAATCGGATGTCGGTTCACCCAGCGGACCAGCGAAAGCCGAAAGGAAAACTGTGCAAATCTGCAACATTAAAGACGCCGTTTTCTGATCCGTGTTCTGATGTCGTTTCCTCGTCGCAAACAAAAACAGACCTGGACTTGTGTTTTGTTTTGTTTCATTCACACGTTTAACAGACAAATCCTGCATATTTACACGTCACGGTCAGTATTTGGGGGAAAACAAAATAGTCCCAACCAATATTTGCCATTTTAATTTTAATTTAATTTAATTATTTTAACGAAAATATTAATTTATTCCGGTATTTTTCCAAACTCGATAGTGTTAACTGAACACGTTTTAGTCCTGGTTTAGCTCTGATATAGGTCATGTTTAGTTCTTGTTTAGTCCTTGTTTAGATTTGGTTGAGTCCCTGTTGAGTCCTGGTTGAATCCTGGTTTATTCCTGGTTGAGTCCTGGTTTATTCCTGGTTGAGTCCTGGTTGAGTCCTGGTTGAATCCTGGTTTATTCCTGGTTGAGTCCTGGTTGAGTCCTGGTTTAGTCCTGGTTTAGTCCTGGTTTATTCCTGGTTGAGTCCTGGTTGAGTCCTGGTTTAGTCCTGGTTTATTCCTGGTTTAGTCCTGGTTGAGTCCTGGTTGAGTCCTGGTTTAGTCCTGGTTTAGTCCTGGTTGAGTCCTGGTTTAATCCTGGTTTATTCCTGGTTGAGTCCTGGTTGAGTCCTGGTTTAGTCCTGGTTTATTCCTGGTTGAGTTCTGGTTTATTCCTGGTTGAGTCCTGGTTTAGTCCTGGTTTATTCCTGGTTGAGTCCTGGTTTATTCCTGGTTTAGTCCTGGTTGAGTCCTGGTTTAGTCCTGGTTGAATCCTGGTTTAGTCCTGGTTTAGTCCTGGTTTAGTCCTGGTTTAGTCCTGGTTGAGTCCTGGTTGAGTCCTGGTTTAGTCCTGGTTTATTCCTGGTTGAGTCCTGGTTGAGTCCTGGTTTAGTCCTGGTTTAGTCCTGGTCCTGGTTAGTCCTGGTTTATTCCTGGTTTAGTCCTGGTTTAGTCCTGGTTGAGTCTGGTTTAGTCCTGGTTTAGTCCTGGTTGAGTCCTGGTTTGAGTCCTGGTTTAGTCCTGGTTGTTTAGTCCTGGTTGAGTCCTGGTTTAGTCCTGGTTTAGTCCTGGTTGAGTCCTGGTTTAGTCCTGGTTGAGTCCTGGTTTAGTCCTGGTTTAGTCCTGGTTGAGTCCTGGTTTATTCCTGGCTGAATCTTGGTTTAGTCCTGGTTTAGTCCTGGTTGAGTCCTGGTTGAGTCCTGGTTGAGTCCTGGTTTATTCCTGGCTGAATCTGGTTTAGTCCTGGTTAGTCCTGGTTAGTCCTGGTTGAGTCCTGGTTTAGTCCTGGTTGAGTCCTGGTTTAGTCCTGGTTTAGTCCTGGTTGAGTCCTGGTTTAGTCCTGTTTGAGTCTTTGTTTCTCTACAGCAAATCAAGTAATCCAAAGTATTCAGATTACATTTCTCACTTTAAGTATTTTCATGGATTACGTTACAAACTACTTTTTGGTGTGTGTAATCTGTAATCTGTAGGGGATTACATTTTAAAAGTAAACTTCCCAACCCTGCATAATTGATAGAAAAACGTTTTGTATTTTTATATTTTTGAAAAGGAAATTCTCCACCGTTAAAATCCGCCTAAAAACGAGCGCGATGTTGAAAAGAAATGAAAAAAAAATCTCGTGAATCAGAACAGAAAAACAGTGGTTGTCGTCACTTTGGTTTGTCCACAAAAATAAGAATAATTTTTTGGATTTTCATGTTGTGAACGTGAAAAGTTTCCTCAGCAAACAGTAATTGGAACATTCATTACATCTGTGACAGTTTCACGAAAAGCAAAAAGAAATAAATACAAAATAAAAAAAATACAAGTGGAAATGTGAAAATAAATGCAAATGGGTGAAAAAAAAAGAATAAAAATGTTCGTCAAACTCAATGAAACGAAAGTGACACAAAAATGAAAGTACTTTTTTTTTTTTTTTTTTCCATTGGCTCTCAAATCTAAACCAAGTACCTTATATAATCTTTGGGTTTCCTGCTCCACGAGACTAAAATCTGCCTAAACTTTGATCAAATTGGAAGAAAACCAAGACAAAATACGACTTTAAAAAGGAAATGTTTTGCAGAATGATGTTTTATGAGTTTTGAGCCCAGACATTTTCTGTTTTCACCCCGTTTTCATCTGTGAGCTCAGCAGTTCAGATTTCCAGGTTTAGTCCAGGTTTAGTCCTGGTTTAGACCTGGTTAAGTTCTGGTTTAGTCCTAGTTTAGTTTTGGTTTAGGCCTGTTTTAGATCTGGTTTAATTCAAGTTTAGTCTTAGTTTAGTTCTGGTTTAGTCCTGGTTTAGTTCAGTTTAGTCCTAGTTTAGCCTTGCTTTTTTTTTGGTTTTATAGTTTAACCCTTGTATAGTTCTGGCTTAGTTCCAGTTTAGTCTTGGTTTTATAGTTAAACCCTGGTTAAGTTCTGGTTTAGTTCTGGTTTAATCCTGGTTTAGTCCTGTTTTGTCCTGCTTTGTCCTGGTTCAGTTCTG